ACTGGGTTTGTTATTGTTGTTTGCATTATACCATTCTTCCTCCATCGAAGGCAAGGGGTATGCTTCAGGAATGTATTCTAAGGAACCATCACCTCATTCCAAAACAGTCACCTCTTGTATGGCTGCAATCTCTAAAATGTTGGTCGGAACCAACTCCAGTTCTTTCTCCTTCGTCAAATCCTTTGGGCGGACCTCTTTAAAAGGACTACGTTATAAACTACTTGCAACTTCGAGAAATCGACCTTCTTAACCATTTTTTCAAAGGCCTCAATGTCTACACCTACTAGATTCAGGAACAAAAGAATAGCCAAAGTGGGCTGTAGTTTCATTAGAAAGCATATCGAGTTACCCCCACTATATGCACTTTGCTCACCAAATGTTTTTTTCCATTCAACGAGTTCTGAACTGGACTAGACAAAGACGGTCAGGCGGTGAGCAATTGGATTTGGGTCCCGTCCTCTTTTACCGGATACATTGCACCCGTTGAATCCTCCACGTCATCCTTTGAAAACTTGTCGAGCAATTTAAATTTTGAACCATGTAAAGATCGAACAAGTGTCTCCTAACCCACATAACAAAAGAGCTCTCATTTCATACTATCAAATTCCTCATGGTTATTCTTGCGTAGGTATCTGCCCCGGCAGACCCAACCTCTCTAATTTTCCAATCACCTTGACATCTTCTGCAACCCAAGCTCACATAGGGAGTAGATTCTACCTATATACCATCCCGATTTCCAATCTCGGACAAGCATAAATGTGGTTGTCCCTCCATTTCACACAAATTTGATCCAACCTGAGATATTTCACACAAATTCAATCCTACTTGAAATGCCAGTATTTGGTGCATTGCGTAATTCAATAAAATCACTGCAAAAATCATCAATTGCTCGATAAACCTTTTTCGACCAAAGATGTAATGGTAGCCCTAGAAGCCTAATCCAAGTGTACTCAGGTTTCACATCTTCTCTGGGGCATCCAATGACCGATAACCACCAATGTAGAAAGAGTATTCCCCGTCTAAAATATCACTTTCCTACCAATCCTCAGTTTCCAAATCCAGACATGTGTCATTCATGTTAGAAATTTGGATGTGTCAAATTTTTTCATGCGTCTGCCCTTCTTTTTTTAAGTCAAAATTTTTATTACTGAACACAAGTCAAGTGTCAAAGGTATGTACAAGTTGTGTATGTAACTACAATACACCACGGTATTCTATCTTTATACCAAAAATATAAATACACGAAAAAGATCTACAGTACTTTCTACATCATTCTCACTATTTTGAGACAATCTTATATTTCTTACATTCCATAAGCATCAAAGAAAAAGGGTTGTTTGGCCCACTTCTTGATTTCCGAGCATGCTGGAATTTTGTTGCCTCGGCTCAAAAGAAGCCACCCAAGGAATTACTAAGAAAATTCTTTCTTCTATTCAAGGACTCCTCCTCTATCAATAAACATCTTTTTTTACCCCATAAAGTTCTATCAGTAAACATCTCTATTTTGCAGCAATTCCTCTTTCACCTTCACCTTCGAGTTTGCCCATCCTTGTAATGTTGTAGCATCAACACAATTATTGAAAGATGGATTATTCAGAGGATGTTACCAGGAGGTGCCTTTTATGTAAATTTTTAATTTTCTACACCAAATCCACCCATCCCATATTGTAAACCACCTCATGGATGATGATCCCATTTTTCCTCTTCCTTCACATCAAATAAAGGTAAAAAGCATTTTTATCCATCTTCGAATGTACAACAATTGGATTACTGGATCCATCTTGATGCGATGCTGTCAAATGAAGAGAAATAGCGCCTACTAAATAAAGGAAAGTAAGTGATGAAACTCCCATTGTTAGATTTATTTTCCCAATTGCTAAAGTCTGGAGCACAAAATATTAATCCATCTAGTATGACTTTTTCCATCTCCAACATATCTCTCCACAGCCCTCTTTAAGCCAGGTGAAAGTTCTGACATACCTGCTGTAGCATGTGTGGACAAAGTCATAACTTCCCAATGGAGTTCTTGTTTCTCTCATACATTTGTATCAGCGAGCCTTGTCGAAATACCTCTTGCCTAAATATCTCAATCAGTTTGTATGAGTTTCCAGCAACAAAAGATGTTCTCTTTTCCTTCATCTTCAAAGTGTACAGGTTCTATTCAATCACGTTTCATGTCGCCATATACTAGGCTTAAGTCATTGAACAATTAATTTGAAACTCACTGTACTTGTCACCAGAAATTGGCCGAAGTTCTGTCTAAACAGGGGTTTAAAGAGAAGTCAGAGTTTATATTTCATCTCTCTTGATAAAGGATGAGAATTTTTAAAAGGTTCAAATTTTTATTTGTATTCATCAAGAAAGAAATTAGAAGGTACTATGACGAGATTATTCGCTGCTAGGAAAAGTGGCTCAGTATCGCAATGGTTAAACTGCAACCACAGTGATGCAGAATGACACTAACGCGAATTGTTGACTTCAGAAATAAGGGTAAGGTAAGACGCACACTAACTGGCAATAAAAAGTATTTAGCTATTATCGCACAAGAAGNCAAAATGCGGAGTTCTGCAGGACTTAGGCAAGAGATAGAGCAATACTTCTGATACATGGGATACACTATAAAACATGGCCAAGTACAATAAATGCTTTAAAGATGGTTAAATGCCAATTCCAGATACAGGATTAATTGACCTGTAAGTTAGAGACAATTAATAAAAGCAAGGATGCTTATAGGGTAGTGATTGGACATTGATAAGGAAATAGGACCCAGGAGATACATCCATGACCTCAGCATCATATTTTTGAAATAGTACTATTTATGACAAAAAGCAGCAACTGAGAACACTCAAGTGAGACACACAGATTAATTAAATTAGGAATAACTTAAACCAATTAGAACTGGAGAGCAAGAAAAGAGTAAGGTGGTGTTTGCGTCAAAAATTTAAAACACTTGGTTTGCGAAAAAAATATCAACTTTTGCAAAAGCTTCTTTTCAACCAAATGCCAAGAAATAAAAACTTTCCTGTTTCTGGAAAAGCTGAAGAACTTTTCTTTCTTGATGTTTTGGTTGAACAACAGTTATTGCAAACATTGAACGATTTTTGTTGAAATTCTTTTTCAAATATCTGAAGCAAACGCCACCAATCTCTTTCCTACATGCTCTTAAGAGGATAAGTAATTCCCGTACAAGCTCACTTCAATGGCACATGTTAGCCAATGCAATTACATTAGTGTCACTCATTTGGGAGGTTTAGAAGCAAAGGCACAGATAGAAGGATGGATCACAAGGTTGTATCCTTTTCTTTTTGATATGGCAAACACCCCTTCCGAGGAGTCAATAGGCCCTCTACCGCTTTGCTTTATTGGTTACTCGAACCCTTTGAACTCAAAGTTGTGGGAGTGTGGAAGGTTACTATTAATATCTTGAGACTACATATCCTAGTAGAACTAGTTTGAGCTATGAATCCTCCATTAGTATGAATTGACGAAGAAATAAAGGGGCTATTTTTCTGGTTTTTCCTAGAATTCTGCAAAGATTAGGAGTATTTCATCCGCTCATGATCAGCTTACTGTTCGTCAATAATAGGATCATTAGGCTAACCAGATTTTGATAAAATCATTTTGCATACAAAGTAGAAAAATCACTGAGGAAGCACTCAAGCACATCTGTCTTCCTGGCTAAACGATGAGAGTCACAATAAATAGGCCCTTTTAAGACAATTTCACCTTGAATATAGTTTTACTCATAGATACCCAACTATTCATATCTTAATTCACTCATTTAACCGGTAAATATTTTATATGATTACACTGGCTTCAGATAAACTTTGCTGTAGGCCACTAACTGTACACTCCACATGAACTTATCTCACAAAATTTGTCAGTGCTACCCTACTCTCTTATTTAAAGTCAACCAAGTGGCATCCACATTTCTCTTTAGCATAAATAAACATGCTAAATGGGACACCTGCATTCAACATTATTTCATGCTTCTTATGGACAACGTAGCTTCACAAACAAAACAAATTAGAAAATATTACCAACGCAAGTGAGAAATGAAAGTCAATATACTCTCTGTGCTTTGATCTTACCTGACACAAGAACCAGAGACCTACTTAGAATAGGCTTTTTTTCTGTTATCATTAATATACTCTTCCAATATTTGATATTTTATATTTGATGACCTAGAAATCCATCTGGGGCTAACCCTTAAGACCACGCATTATTTGATATTTTACACCGTATCTGATAAACATTCTGTCATCTACAATTGTCTAGCAGTAAATTACTCCTAAAAATCAACAAAGCATACGCTCAAGCCAAAAGGTGTTCATTTTTTCATATTCTATGTACGAGGGGAAGCAACTCAACCCAGCTAGAGAAAGTTTAGTGAAAAAGGAATCAAAACATTCCGCCTTACCAAGGAAAATAAGCTTCAATTGCCATGATAATTCAGATGATATTATATTGGTTCAAATAAAAAAGAAATTCATATATAACTACTACCATCAATTCTTCCAACTGTTGTAGAGGTTGTGAATTAACTCCATTTAGAATTTCAGCAACAAATTCATGGAGATATTTTGTACAGTAAGCTTAAGAGAAAAGCAACAGATCTGTTTGGTGCAATACAGTTACTTATGGTCAGCAACCATGTTCAGATGCCAAAACAGAAACAGTGAGGACCTTTGCTCAAGCTTGCCAAAGAAGATGTCAGAAGCATTTGCATAGAAAGATATACACTGAATATTTCCAGTGCAAATTGATCAACCTTGAGGTCAGGATTAAAGTGAAAGAGTTCCACTGTAGCGTTAATCACAGAAGTGGAAGCATCTTGTAATCATTTATATGGATATACTTGAATAAACATAAGGTGACACAATGATAATATGTAATAGTGGATAACATATATGGCTATGTAAACTTTGAAGATATGTAAGCTTGAATATTTTATGCAGAGAGTAGAAAAGACTTGTACATATAAAGAAATGGCTACACACCTATGTTCATCCTCTGTCCATGCAATGCCTTTGCGACGCTCCTGATCCGCCCTCGTAGACTTACCTCCATGATTTGATTCACCATTTGAATTCCCACTCTTCTTTCCTATTCCTTCATCAGCACCATGGCTTGTAGAACTGTCCGAAGAAGAGTTATAACAAGGTAAAGGAACACAGCCAGACTCGATCCTGCTAACATCATCTAGTAAGAGGTCGTAGTGATGCTTAACCTCTTTTAAGGTTTTCCCAGGAACATCAGACGCAATTTTCTCCCACCTATCCGGAGAATCCTCAGGATAAGTTGCCAAGGCATTCTCAAATGCTTTATCCTGCTCTCTACTCCATATGGAGCTACTTGACTCATCTATTGTCATCTACCCTTGTTAGTTTTTGATATTGAGCTTATACAACTGAATCTGAACAAGTTCTCAACAGTTCCCCAAAAAAGCTTGAACAATTAGAGCTTTGCGGAAATTGGGATCTGAATTATTGCCTCAGCAAGATATACAATACACCAATTTGAGTATCAGAAGCCAGATATAGCAGGCCAATGAGCCCAATGAGAACAGAAACAAAGGGAGTCCAAAAATAGCCAAACAAACTGAAAAGCAGAGAGATGCTGATGGATGCAAATGGTGGTTTCCTTCGCCAAATCAAGAATTGTACACTTGTGGATTGCTGACCATAGTGATGAAGAAAAGAGGGACCCTAGTTTAGTTAGAACATGAGAAATATCTGAAAGTCATAAAAGCAAAAATAGACAACTTTAATTACTGACGGTGATTCCAATTCCATGGTAATTACGACTAATATACCATGAAAGTGACTACCATGATGAATCCAAGAAAGACCCAGAAGACCAAATTTGGATAGCAACAGTATTCCAATTGCCACTTATTAATCCCTGCGATGACCCAACGGCCAAAATTCCCTTCTTGATAACAACAATTTTGACAGCACTGGTCCACAAGTAAAAGCACTTCGAGTAGAGACCCAACTTTTACAGTTAAACACTGCGGCTTCCTTTTTCATTTGTTCTCTTCAACAGAGCCACAGATAGTAAAATTACGGAAAAGTTAAAAAAATAAGTCCCTTTTAACCAATTAATGCAAAGCAGTAAGTAAGATGAAATCACAAAATTCAGTTCCCTGCCAACATGGTTTTTCCAGCACCCTGCTTAGAGAAACACTTTGAAAGCGAGTAAATTGACTGAGCAATCCACCATTTATTATGAAAACTTTACCTTTTTACATATTTACTCATATAATAGAAGGGCAGAGACGTTGTTGATAGACTCTCGGCTAAAAAAAGAACGAAAAGAAGTAACGGCAATAAGTAGTAACAACAACAAGATAGAATAAGAAGATCGAAGCCAAGAAAGTAAGTAAACACCAAGTGTTAATAACAATCTAAGAATAAAGAGATATCATACTAACACTAATGTTATCGGACCGAGAAGACATAGGTAGAACGCTCGACTATCTACTAACCTACTACTCTAATTCTCGACCGGCACACCCTCCTATTAAGGGTCATGTCCTCAATAAGCTCCAGTTGCGTCATGTCCCGCTTAATCACCTCCTACCAAGACTTCTTTGGCCTACCTCTACCCCTCCTCATACCTGTACGGGATAAAATTGGTTAATGACAGCTAGGCGAATGACAGAGTGATACGTGGAACTAAAGACATGTGGGATGTGAGTCAGCAAATAACTGGCACCGGATGCAAGCGTGCAATCAGTGTTGAACAAGTTCCGAAGACAAAGCAGCCAGTACCAAAGATTCAAAGCATTGTCATCGGGTAACATTCAACGGGCAACCGTTTGCACCCATCAATGACGTTTTTGTTCTCATTCAAGAGGAACTTAATTTGAGGATCTTGTCTCCCTGAATGGGGCTATAAATAGAAGGATTAACATCCATTGTAGACACGAGAAATCTCTACACAAAAGCTATAATCTATTGTCATATTGCGCTCAATTCTGATACTTGAATATTGCATTCACTTTTGTCATCGAAAGGCTAAGCTCTCAGTCAGGCTTGTTATCTTCTTTAATTTCATTTGACAATCTTACTTTTGTTCTCATTGACTTATTATTTTTGGGTCAAATCGATTCGTTTGTATATAAATCACGCTATAGATTTCACTTTAATATTTTACAGGTAAACAGTTTGGCACCCCCCATAGGGCATAGACAAATGCGTAGTTGCTTTGATTCATTCGTTTACTACTAACAAGTTTTGACCCTTTCCTTAGTAAAATCAGATATGACAGCTAATGATACCAACAACGCTTACAATGTTGGAGCACATGATGAACGAGAAGATGCGTTCCGGCGTGATGATTCAACTAGCGAAACCCGCAACGAAGGGGATGAAGCAACCCCGGTTCGCAAAGGGCAATATACTCGGCATGTGCAGGGCCCGACTCCTGATGATGCGGAGGATGAGCACGTTGTCGAAACAGTCAAAATCTTTAGAGAACAACAAAAGGCGATTATGGATCACCTCTCTAGGCAAGATCGTGTGATAACGGAATTGAAGTAGGAGTTATCGAGTGCTTCCAATAACGCTAATAGAAGGACTCAGGTTCCTCCCAGCGTTCCCGCAAATCAGACGGCTCAAAGAACTGATAACAACACTCCAAGGGATGAAGTCGATTTCGATGAAGCCGGAGAGACCGGTAGTGGATCTAGGAACAACAACTTGAATGATCCTTTCAAAACTGAGCTCATGAGATTCATGAGAGAAATGAATGAACAAATGGATCAGAACGCGAATAAGTTTCATGCTTGGATGGATTAGATATCGGGTGCGCCGTCGATGCTAAAAGGACCAGATTCGAGGAAGTATACACAGTTGTCATTTAAACCAAGCGCGACACCGGAACTGATCCCAAAGAGGTTTAAGATGACGGATATTCCAAAGTATGATGGGACATCGGACCCACAGGAGCACATCACGACCTATACCACGACAGTAAAAGGAAATGACTTGGCTCAGCATGAGATCGAGTCGATTTTGTTGAAAAAGTTTGGCAAAATCCTTACGAAGGGTGCCCTGACATGGTATTCTCTCTTACCTGAGCATTCAATCGATTCTTTTGAAATGCTTACAGATTCGTTCATCAAAGCTCATGTTGGAGCAAGAAAGGTCCAGGCTAGAAAGGCGGATATATTTAGAATTTCGCAAGGAGAATCAGAGCTGCTGCGAGAATTCGTGATCCGGTTCCAGAAAGAAAGGATGTTGTTACCAGCATTTCGGATGAGTGGGCAGTGGAGGCATTTATAAAAGGTCTCAATCCACTGAGTTACGACGCCTCCCAGAAATTAAAGGAGAGCTTGCTCGAGGTTTAGGCGACCATATAAGCGGATGTTCACAATTGCTACAAGTCGAAGATAAGAATAGAAGATGATCAACTTGGCTCCTCGGCGTCCTCCAAAGGACAAAATCGTGATTGGAATTAGGATAAATTCAAAAGTGATTTTGATGTGGATCGGAGACCCTCTAGAGTTCGTTTTCAACCTTACGAGAGAGCCGATGGACGTGGTAATAAAGGATTCCAGTCGTCAGATAGGTTCACTTCCGATAGAAGGAAGGATCGTGGTCAAAGTAGCAGATCGTTGCAAGAAAAAAGAGGTGTCGGGTTCTCAAGATTCAGCGTCTCCCAGGTTATCCGATTACAACTTCAATATCAGCCTGGTAGAATTAGAGATGGCAATGAGGAATATTAAAGAAGCTCAGTTCCCAAAACCAATCCGATCGGATCTAAGCCAAAGGGATCCTAATATGTGGTGTGAATTCCATGGGACTCACGGCCGTAGAACTGGGGAGTGCCAACATTTTCATGAAGAAGTGGCAACATTGTTAAATAATGGTCACCTTAGAGAGTTTCTTAGCGGCCTCGCCAAGAACAACTATGGTAGAAATCGAGATAATGCGGAACCATCGAAGCCGGCGGTAGGGTCGGCTCAAATCACAATCAATATGATCTTCGAAGGCGACGAGGTCCAGAGTGACATTTTTGGCAGCAAAGAAGACGAAGATATCGGTGACTCATGGCAAGAGGATCCAGGAAGTCCCAAAAGATGACATCATGTTCACGGAGGAAGATGCAGATCGACTCCTTCTACCACACAATGATGCTCTGGTAATTTCGCTTAATGTTCTAGATTTTAAGATTAAGCGTGTTTTGGTTGATCTAGGAAGTTCAGCCAACATCATACAATGTTTAGTTTTGGAGCAAGAGAAGTTAACCGAGAACATCATTCCGGCGACAAATCTTCTAGCTGGCTTCAACTTAATAAATGTGACCACCCGAGGAGAAATTTTGTTGCCCGCACATGCCGAAGGAGTAATGTAATGACCCGACCAGTCGTTTTAAGCATTTGCATTTCGTTCAGCTATTTGAAGTCTTGAGTAGCTTCGTATGAAGTATTATGACTTATGTGAATCGTCGATTTTGGTTTTCAGGTGATTCGAAATTGATTTAGAAGAATGATTCTCAACTAGAAAGCTTTAAGTTGGAAGAGTTGGCATTGTTTGACTTTTTATTGTTTGACCTCGGATCGGAGTTTTGATGGTTCCGTTAGGGCCGAATGGTGATTTTGGACTTGGGCGTATGCCCGGATTTGCATTTGGATATTATTAGAAGGTTTCAGCACTAATTGGCGAAAGTTAGAAATTTGAAGGTTTGGAATATTTATAAGTTTGATTGAGAGTTGACTTTGATGATATCGGGTTCGAATTATTGTTCTGGGAGTTGGAATAGGTTCGTTATGTCTTTTGGAACTTGTATGCAAAATTTGGGTTCATTCCGGATTGGTTAGGCTTAAATCGGATGCTTGATTCGAAGTTTGAAGTTTATGAACTTAAGAGATTGATCTTGATCGATGATTCGTGGTTTTGATATTGTTATGTATGATTTGAGGCCTCGAATAGGTCGTGTTATGTTTTGGGACTTGTTGGTATGTTCGGACGGGGTCCCGAGGGGATCGGGTGAGTTTTGGGGTGGTTTTGGACCATTTCTAGGCCATTTTTAGTTGCTGGTTTTTGGCCACACGGTTGTGCAGCACGATCGCGGACTTTGGGTCGCATTCGTGAAGAGCAAATTTGTTGTTTCGGACATTTTAGCATATTTTGAGCTATGGAGCTCGGATTGAGGCGATTTTTGAGGTTATTTTTACCACATGGATTGGGATAAGTATTTTCTACTCGGTTTTGATTTTATTTCATGAACCCATCTTCGATTTTGGCATTTGATTGATGATTTTGAAAGAGAAATTGGGGCTTTTGTCTAAACTTTCATAAAGTGAATTTTTAAGTTTTAAACATTGATTCGGAGTCGGATTTGAGTAAACTTTCATAAAGTGAATTTTTAAGTTTTAAACTCGTAACTCCGAGATGCGGGCCCGGGTTTGACTTTTTGGTTGACTTTGGACCTTTGATTAAAGATTCCACCTTTATCGATTGAGTTTGTTTCCTTTGACATTATTTGATGTTCTTGAGTTGCTTTTTGCTAGTTTTGAGCCGTTCAGAGGTCGGTATGCACGAGATGTCATTCCTAGAGTATGGGTTGGCTTGTTCGAGGTGTGAAAAGGACTATTGGATGCTCGATTTCTGTGGATGTGTCATACAGTCTTGAGTTATGAAGGTTTTTGTGATATTAATTCATGTTTTTTCATTTGTGGAATGAAGTAGATTTTCATGTCTTGTTGATGACTTCAGACTCAAGAAGATTAAGTGATTGTGTAATAGTTGTGGCTGTGGAAGGGTATAGAGAGATGCCAATTTGAGGTTAAGCAGATGGGTTATCTCCTGCGGGGTAATCTACGGATGTGTGATCCTTATGATGTTGTGTGGAGGGTTTCTTTTCTACCATTGGGTTATATGTGTTGCGATTTAAGTTTGGATTGGTTGAGAAAGTTGACATGACTGTCACGAGGATACATGCGGGATTAGCGGATGGTTTGAAGTATTTTTATGGGTTGTGTTGCAGGAGCTTGTGAAGGAT